GGAGGCAAGTTGATAACTTCTTTTAATAGACAAAATATGTGACCTAGCGCGGGCGGATTTACGAACGATATTTAGACTATTTAGTTCGATCCGCACCAGCCTGTAAAATGTACAGGCTATGTGTTTATTTAATAGGAAAATATTACAAAAACGTCAGATTTCTCTGCTTTGATTGCTTAAGATAAGTAAAAAATAAGACGATTTTGCTTTGAGAGTACCCAAATATGTACTCGAATCGAAAATTCGAATGTACAGGTGTTACAATAAGTAAAATACCTATTTAAGAAGTTATAGACACGTTAATGTAATTATAATATCAGCGTGCGGGCAAGATGGAAATTTGAAGTTGAGGACAAAATGGAAGTAGTAAAAAAAATGGAAGTTATACCTAACAGTGAACAAAAATATTACTGTAAAAACAAAGAGAGATAATTAAGGAAGGGGAGAACAGATAATTACGGAGAAAGATAAAGGAATAATTATTTCTCGGTTTCCTGGAGAAAAATACGAAAAATCAGCTATAGAAGACTGTTTAAGATTTCTATTGTATTGTAAATAAGCTAGAAAATGGTTGTTTTTAAGTATTAATTGCAAAACTTAAATTTGTGTTATATATTCCAAATTTTCGTTAAGATTTCCATATTGCCCTTTAGATGAGGGAGATATCAGGATTTTACTTTACGAGTTATAATTCATTTTAGACTAGAATATAGTTATTGTTAATTACAAATTTGTTTCCATTATTTATTTATCTTTCAAGAATAATTTAAACTTACTTCACAAATTTAGCCCTTCCATCTTGTAAACCCGAGCTCTTATATAAGGAAAAGGAGGGTATATAAGAACTCGGGTTCTAATAATTATCACCTACTTACTCAAAGTGAAAAACTTATCTACACATGAAAGTCCAAGAAGCGTGTTTCACTAAACACTCCTATTGCAATTTTATAATTCATCCGGTCACACTTCACTACAAATAATAAGGTTATTCTTACTCTGGCATTATAAACAAAACACAACAATTTAAATATCAAAGGGCACTGTCACTGAAAAAGAAAACTGTCTTAATTTATGCGAAGCGCCGTCACTAGAGGGCGCTCGGCAGACTCTCCTGTTAAGCAGAGTTTATTATAATCAAAAGAATGGAAAGCGTGCTCATTGATTATCTCACGTTGTGAATTGACCCTTATGGTTATCGTTATAAAAAACTAAGTTTGTATCACGGTAAAATTGAAAAGTTTTTTCTTTATAAAAAAAAATAAGTCTTTTGGCTATTCATAATGGTGTCTGCCTTCTCGCCTCATGTTGTGATTCGTTTTGGTAGTCGATTAAAGGCGCTAATGCACTACATAATTAGGTAGGTGCTTAGATGATTGTTTTTATTAGTAATATATTGACGATGGAAAACAAAATGGGCGTAGTTGTACATCTCATCTATAACAATCAGTTTTTTTTTCTGCGTCTATTGATCGAGTTCTTATTGCTCTACGAAGAGTATACAACATTGAAATTTGAGTGTATTTAAAAAGTGCGTTTTTTTAGGTGTATGTAATTGTGTCCACGAGTGAAACTACACGTTTCTGTTATATGTTCGGAAACTATGAATCATTTTAAATATTTACTAAATAAGATTTGTTACACTGTTTACTTTAGAAAATATATCGCTTTGGAAACTTGAAAAAAGCGTCATAAATGTAAACCATGTAGGTATATATTGTTTTAAGCTTTCATTGTAATTTACATTAGAATGTAAGTTTTCTACCATATACCTTGTTTTTATTAAATTCCCGATATAATGCTGCTGTTGCAAGTGTTTGCATGTTTTGTTATTATGATCTCATTACCTAAGTCTCTTGGGAAGATTTGGGATATCACCCGTAGAGTCTGGGTACCTTCATAACACAATAACTAACTTAAACTGCTTGGTATTTAATTTGTTGGGATCTGTGCAATGTAGAGCAGCAGACCGATCGCGTCTCTTATCTTGATTCTAAGTAGTCATAGGATATGACATCATAACGTTGTTATGACGACAGGTATTTCGTTTCATGTTGCTAATTGTTGAGCATGACGTTTGGTGGATTTTTTGATAAATAACTAATAACACTGTTATCAAATCCATAATCATCATTTTTTATCATGAATTCATGATAAAGTACATCTAAAAGTGGTAAAATGATACAAACCATCGCTCTGGGTCGCGACCGGCAAACTGCTCTAGCTATAGGATACCATATCCTAGCGATGTTATAGCGCTATTTCGTTTAATTTTACTAATTTAACATGTACTTTAACAACGAATGATAAAGAATGATGAAAACGGATTTCACAGTAGTGTTTTCGACTTATGCATTTATCCCAAATTTATCCATAAAAATACATGTCAAAGGAGTAAATTTAATGAAAATATCATCATAATATTCGCTTAAAAATCGTATACTATGGCTTGAGTTACGCGGTAGCACTCAGGGTATGGACTTTGTCTAAAATTTATTTATAATTATTTACATGCACTGCATGTTTTGGTTATAGAAAAAATATAAAATTCAACAGACTCAGGTACTTAATTATTTTTTAAATATTCTTTCTATAATTTAAAAATTTCAACCTTTGATATGGCGCTTCGAAAGATCACGTCGATTCCCGCTTACTAGGAGTTACCTAAGTACCTAAGTCTGTTGAATTTTATATTTTTTTTATAACAAAAACTTGCAGTTCATGTGAATGCAATGTTCATCAAAGAGAATATATGTTTATTTGAAGATTAGCTAAGAAAAGTAGAATTCAAAATTCTTTCGTCCTGTAGTAAAATATTAGTATCCAATAACATTTTCACTACAAGAAGTTACCTTAGGGTTTTTCCACGTAACCTTTTTTGATTTTTGACTACTTGTAATTTTTATATTAAAAGCAGTCAATAGCTTTAGCTTTATTTTAATGCCTTTTTTCGTAACGAGATAATGAAATTCCATTATTCCATTCCCAAAATTAAGAATTCTTTATTAGTTTTGATAATACCGATTTTTTTTTCAAGTAAGCCGATTTTCCCTAATATCGACCTATAACACCATAACATTCGCCGCATGTGATCCTGATATCGGCATATAGTTTCAAAGGAGAAGTTAGATTAATAAAACTACATAAAAAATATAGGGTTTTATATTTTCAAATCAGGTAACAATCAACATTTTAACTCTTATTATATTTTAAGCATCTGATAATCAACATAAAAATGTTAATTCATTATTATCTTACTTATTTTGATTTCTAATACAGAGGTATAAAAAAAACAAAAAGTCATTAAGAAATGAAAATAAAAAAAGGAGCTACGAACCAAATTATTAAAAATAATTACCGAATAAAATCTTAACGTAGGATCCTCAAATTAAACGCATTAAACAGTAATTTCAATTACAATCTTTTTGGTCACATCAATATAGGTATAATATTTTATCAATTTTCTTTAAGAATGGTAATGTTTTCCTTCAAAGTTAATTAAAAGTTAATGAAAGCACGTTTCAAGCGTTTTTCTTTAAGGTTTAATTAACTTTTCCCATTTCGAATGGTTATAAGTTCTTTTTTTTTTCTTTCGTTACAGTTACGTTACGAAACGACGTACGTTTGCATCTGCCCGCGCTTTATTATCAACTGAACGCTCAAATGTTGGGATAAGCACACCAAAACATGGAAGGTTATTAGTAAGGATATAGAGCTACTTTTTGCATAAAAACCATAATAATTTTGGGACTATTTTTTTAGATTATGCTTTATTCTCTCGAAACGACCGATATTAGGTGGTGGCCGATACTAGGAGATTCCACCCTATATTCAACTTTTCATATATAAAAACAAGAATTAAGTACTTTAATAAAATACAAACTGAAAGTGTTCAATTACTTTCTTGCACTTATAATGTAAAGAAAAACACAAAATGAGAAGCGCCATCGACAAATTGTGAAAGAAGTCAATTCAATTAAGTGAATCCTTTAATAAGCAAATAACCAGAAGCGAAAGCGACGCAGATCAAAGAATTTTGAGGTCCGCACTCAAAGCCCCCGCGTATATAGCCCTATGCGATGCTTTATAACTAGACTACTTGTATTATATCACTTCGATATTGTAGAAGATACACAACACTGTATTCTTATTTATAATCAAATCACCAATATCAATCAATTCCTGCTTCTGCACGTCTTTTATATATCTACTAGCTGTTTTCCCGCGATTTCACATGCGTAAATTATAGTCTATGTCTACCCCGTATCGATTCATACAAACAAACAATTAGATCTTTCCTCTTTATAATATTAGTGTATAAATTGAAGTTGAACACATTTATAATTCAAAATGTGTCTGCTTTTTGATCAGGCAAGCGAGAGAGGAAAATTTGTCAATTTATAGTAATCCAATATTGGTAGATACAGTTGAGATATACATATTTTTTTCTTTCATAATACTAATTAAAATCGTTATTCACTTTATATTATACCTAGAGAAAACTTTCAATTTACTGTATTTGACTTTGAAGTCTTAACAACAAATGTTGCTCGATACATAGCAAAAAAGATTATATTTTTCATGTCTTTGACAGTTAAATAATATCTCACTATAATCAATCCATATCCAAAACAACGACATTAGTTTATGGTGGTAATAACACAGTAGATAAAACACATTTATTATTAATTTAGAAACCAAAGACTACTGGGTTTAAACTTACAGTAGGTAGATGATATCTACCCATTCTTAACGAATAGGATGAAAAGCATTCATATAGCCACGATCACTACGAAGTAGTAGCTTTATACTTGACAATCATTGGGGAGACATCACGTCATTGGCGCGATGGTTATATATGCGTTATGCGCCACCGACACGGAGGGCGCTTATGGTCGTCACATCACTATCAATGATAGCTTATCATTCAATCTATTGATATGCATCACTATGAGACAAATGGTATGAAGATCCATGTAAAGGACGTAAGTTAATTAAAAAGGTAATTTCTTATTAAGCACTAATATCATGATTTTATTACTGACCAACATTATCATTTACACGTAATTATTTATCACTGTTACTAGGTTCGTGTGATTTATCATTATTGTTTCTTTACAGGGGTAGATTTTAATGAGAATCTCTTTCTTCTATTTTCATTTGCATTTAAACCTTCCGTTTCAGGTGTTTCTTCATCAGCACGCGCTCTTGGAGGGCCATACTCCTTAAATCCTATGAAAGATTGGACATCAACTTCGGGAACATTCGAGGATAAATTCGTATCACCAACCTCAGTTACATCTTTCACTTCTTGAACTAAAATTTCATTTTCAGCTTTATTAATTATAAGTTCATTGGATGTTACCACCGACGAGTCATCCTGTACAGACGAAACTTGTACTGTCGTGTTTAATTCCTTTACAACTTCATCGAATACTATGTTTGATTTAAGATCATTTACTTCTTCAGTGTTAGATAATGTACTTTTAAGAATTACTTCTGTAGTATCCTCTCCTCTAATTTCAGAGGCAGTTACTTCTTCAGTTACTTGGACATTCTCAGTAATCACATTAGCGTCGTCTTCAGTCACAATAGCACTCGTGGGATTTACTTCCTCAGTTTCTGCGTCTTCACTTTCAAATAAATTGGTTCTTAATACAACAGTCTCTTTATCTGATGGTGGAGCATTTTGCTTATCGTCAGAAATTTGATTGTCCTCAACAAAAGCTCGTTCGGTATATAGATCGGGTAACTCTTGCTTAGTGATAGCTTGATATATGTCTTGGTTCGCTGGTGGACCATATTCTCTTAAGTTTTCTGTACCAAAAGCTTCAGATTCTATATCATCTTCCTGTGAATTTTCAGTCTTTTTAACTTCTGTAGGCAAGACAAATGCCATCCCTTTAGGCCTCCATCCACTTGGTAAATAAGGGCCAGAGCGAAGCGTAGAAGCCGCTCCGATAGCCAATATAAATACAACACACGACTGCATAATTAGAGCAATGGAAATCGTTGGATTAATTCAATGAAATGATGCTGTGCAAGAAATGGAACCCGTTTTTATATCACGATCTTTAGTAGAACAAAGTTAAACAAATCAAGGTTTGTAAATGGACAAATGTTTGTTGAAGAGTCGATTATTATTGAATTAATTGTGTAATGCTAATGCGATATCACTGTTCATTGGATCAAGGTCACGGTGATCTGTGCAAGTTCATTGTTAGACAAGTTATGTTCTTCAAGAGTCATCGAATCAAATATTATCCCTGATAGATAGGGACAGGGAATGGCAAACAGCGTGTCAAAGACGGTTTTTAATTAATCACTCGCAAACTATGACGGTTATTTTAAATCTTGAATAAAGTGAAAAAGGCTACAATGTGACTCAAATTCATTTTACCTTAAAAAAAGTATGTATATAATTAAACAAAGAATGGAAGAATGGTAAAAAAAAATAAGTAAGTACATTTTTGTTTTTTTTTCTATAGAGAAAATTTTATAAAATCTATAAAATAACCATATATTTAAAATTATAACTATACGTTTTGACTGTGATAGAACCCGTATTTCTGAAAATATCAAAGCTGTTTCCCATATTGCGAAATAGACAAGATGACTTATAGATGATTAACACCCGTTTAATGAATTAAGAAATTGAGTTGAGCACGTCTCAATCCGTGATTAAGCCATTTTAAGCGTCATTTAAACAGATTTTCATTACTGATTTATGATTTTTTTTTTAATGATCAGTTGATAGTAATTTGATAAAAATAAGACTTTTTGCCTTGTAAAACGTAAAAAACGAAAATTATTGAGTAATCAGTTGGGATTTTATACTTTTCTCAATTCAGAAACCGGCCGTATAATTTTCAAACAGTCACAGATACTGGGCCGATGTTAGAAAAAAAATCGAAAAGGATTATTCTAATGGTCTACTTTATGGGCTAAATTAATAGAAAATAGAGGTACTAACGATTTTATACTATGGATTTCTTTGAAGTTTATCACATTATGTGTATTATTTTTAGTAATCGGTAATAAATATAAATATTGGAACCATTTAGAACTAGGTAGAGCGAATGTCAATTATCAAGATGATACCATATTAGTTCAGTCAACAGTAGGTACTTAATTTTATATAAAAGTAGTGACAGTACATATATTTCATTTTATTTAACACCACATGTACCTGCAATAAAAATAGGTACGTTGAGGTTAAGATTTGGTAAGGTAATTAAAACGGAAGATTGTGAATATATTGTCATTAAGCCAATGCCAATTCATTATCATTTTTGTAGCAAATTATATTGGCTACACGTAAGGCTAACACAATATGTCAAAAATCAAGTTGAAAAATTCTATAATGTCATTATTTGTCATATCCTTAACTGATTTTAGTAGGCGTTTGAAATATCACTTTTTAACATATAACTCGTTTAGGTAACGACTCACTATTGAATTTTGTATCTTCAGGTGGAAAAATTGCGTTGGAGAATATGTAATAATAAGTTGAAACACCGGCAAAGAGCTACAATAATCAACAAGAATAAAAACAATTTTACGCGTTTTAAAGGGGTTGAATGTTGGAGTAAATGACATTTCGCAAATATTTTATTTTTTAACATGAAACTACTCTGGGTACTCTTTGTTTCCAGGAAGTAATTGTGTATACCTGTTTTAATCGTATCCTGAACCTCACTAGATAGGCTGTTTCTATATTTACGTCGAACTATAATTTATGTCCATGTTTTGTCACCTTCATCTACTCTTCCGCGTTTTTTAAATTCAAACATGAGACGACTATGGAGCAGTTTTGAGCCATTTATTTTATTAGAGCAGTATCTATATACTTACCTTTTACGTAAGCAGTAGGTACAATTCATACATAACTCATTCATTATTTCAAATCAAACGAAGTTTAAAATAAAAAACATATTTTTGTAATTTCTTTATTTTTTTCACCATTTATCGTAAAACTTTCCTACGGCATACCGCGCGTCGCAGTCGCGCACCAATATTCCGCCTTGTGTATGTCGAGTCCTCTCTGCCTATATCTACTCTCAACAGACTCTTTCAAGAGCCCTACACATCACGTCACAGGCTCACCGCACTACACGTCCCTTACAACATGGAGCTATCCATTACCCCTCAACAGATGGTGCTGTAAATTTGAATCAATCGACAACAGGTGGCTCTGCAAGTTTACAATTCGATGACAACGGATGGCGATGGCAGTAAGAGACGCGTTGTGCTTACAAACTATATAAGTTTAAAAGAAAGTTAATAATGCATACAAATTGACAAAATATTTTTTGATAGATACCTAAATAACACATAGTTCTTTTTAAACATAAATAGGCGCAATATTTTTTCCCTCTGAAGTATAGAAATTATTTATTACAATATGATTTCCGTCGTAAGTACACACAAGCACCATCTAGCGCAGTCTGACTGCCTTTCCCACGTCTGATAATTACTCCCCGGCTCAAATCACAAGAATATTGCTTAGCAACTATTCATAAACATAGCCAACAGAAGACATGTATTAAAAGAATTCGAGCTCAGGGTACCCATACAATCCAAAATACATACAATATATAAACAACGTGACAGACACTTCAACTAGAGTATTTTATCACGTCATGAGTGTTCACTTCATACATACAAATTTACAAATTTCAATTTCGATTAAAATTCGATCTGGAGATCTGTCACTTTAACCATTTTTTTATCAATACCAACTAGTGTCAAACAATAGAAAAAATAACAAGTATATAAAATACTAGTATAATAATAAACCTATAGGAAGTAATACATCACACTATTCAATCTTTGGATACAAAATCTCACCAGCGAACTCATTACACGATTCGTATAAGCTGAACACAGTTTCATACAAATATGTGTGTGTTAAAGGCTAATGACAAATCGTGTAATGTGACCACTTTCGGAGTCCGCCGCGTAGCTGTACCGATCTACCCCATCACAGAACATACAATATTCCACCTACGGGCACCGGTTAGCTAACCGATACGGCCCCGTTCACACAAAACCAGTCTCAAGAGAAGCGAGCCGTGTTACACACAAAATAATACAAAAAACATTTTATCCTCATCATATGAGCCGTCAGTCCCACAGTTACGATATCATATATAAACAACTACCTCGGTACATATTGGGTGTATTACCAGTAAGATTATATCTTTAAAAGCTGCATCGACGGATAGTTACTGGCGTCTCGTGGAACGATCGCTTGAGTCGCACGCCATGGGACTATGACACATTTCCTTTCCTCGACCTCATCTCATCATACACAATACCCAATATGCCGTCTACTTATACCTAACAACCACAAATTATATTGCAATCTATTTTTTTTTTTACAATTTAGCTTCTGCGAACCATGTCCGCCCTTAATTAGATCGCGGCAACCATTTCATACAGCTCACTTACATATAGATGGCGACTGCCGACTGATGAGCTGTACGAAACGTCCGCCACGCCAAGTGCAAACCTATCTAGACAACGCCCTGTCGCTCGGTACACTACAGAACACAGTTTGTATCCATCGTCCTCATCCTAAGGAAAACATTTACATGACGACCGGTCGTGGCCAAACATCCGCTCAATGGAACTCGCAAACAATGTCACGGGCGCGATGTAATCGTTCGACAGTGAATCAAGAAAGCTTCGAAGGCACGAACGAAAATGAACACTTGAACTGACGTTTGAACATCACCGGCGCGCCGTATATCGATACTATACATAAAATATGAAATATTCAGGACACAATATTTCGAAATTGTTTAACTCTACAAATCATTATCCAATATTTTATTATAAACTACAATCGATTGGCAGTATTTTTTTCACCTTCAGCTCACACTCATGATATTTATCTCGCGTATCACTCGTGACGTGATCGAGTCCGGAGTCTCGGCTCGCTTACTGTATAACTACGTACGTACGTCCGACTCAACTAAACAGCGCGCCCTCACAACTGAACGCACACCGACACGCAAGCAAAATGAAGACAGTACCGTCGTGCGTTCAAATCACTCGGCACTTTAATGATACGAACAGAAATAGAAGCCACCTATTTCCACTATCATCTGGACGTTAATACAAAAGATATCATAATATAAACTGATACATAATTAACCGTTTGGACGTGAAACGACCAGTTCTTTACTGCACAATAACGAAACGCCACAGAAACAAAACGCCATAAAAAAGATGCTATTACGGCTGGCAACTCCGCGAGAGATCATACGAAAGTTGCCAACTGCCACAGAATCGGCGACGATGACTTAATTGCATATGGCACATCCTAACTTACAGCCCGTACTCGACTGGCGTGTAAGTTGCTCTCGCAATTTCGTTGGTTCCTAATCGTTAAACGTCCCAGAAAATGTAAAAACTTTATTAACACAGCAAGCCAGTCGAGTCCGGGATATCCTAACGCTAATAACGAGTCCTATCACTGTGCTCGTGATCCCTTCAACCGTTTATCCTAACCAGGACCTAAGTTACTGCGCACCCTTTCCTAAATGTTGGAAGTACGCGAGGAATTTTGAGGATATCAACCTCGCGTATTATATCTACCACCGACAGCGGTACCTCTCCAGAACTGACAATTCGGTTACTGCAAGTTACGACCAGCACTCTCCCAAGTGGATGGACCAAAAGATGTTTATTTCGTGAAAAAACAGTAGCGTGCCTGTATTTACAACTACGAGGGCACGGGAAACGTTAGCTCGTTAAATTAATAATAATATGCGTGGCATGAAGCTGAACCTGTCATGTTTCCAATGTCCCCGTTGCCTAGAACGATCAACCGTTGAAATTAACACATACTAAGTAATCGAAACAATCACATCAAAACTCAAGCTGAACGAGGAAACCCATGTTGACAACGACCACTTCAATCAAGTTGCTATCGGATTGACTCTTATTCCGGTTGTTACATAAGAAATGGTCGTCGCAAACACAAGAATCGCACACGTGAAACTCAAACCCTATTCCGTTTCTGTATCTGCTCATCGAACACCGCCAGTTATCATATTTCTGTATCCAATCAATATTTCCAAACTATTACAATTTTATATATTTCCTTTTTTTAATCAATTTCAGGTACTGTGGTATTGCTTACGTGTAATATAGTATTT